GCCAGGTAAGTGAAATTATATTATCTTGCTGTATGTGTGTCGTTTTCTTTACGTTTTCTGACTAAAAGCAACCAAAAATCCATTTTAAAGTGGTTAAGCAAATAATAATAATAATAATAATCGGCAGGGATCCCAGACCAATACAATTAGTGTGCCTCCTCTATTTTAAAACCCACGAGCCGCCACTGTCCATGTGTAAATATGCACTCACATTGTAATGGGCCAGTGTGTTGATTCGTTTCCATCTTCCCTCCTTCTGTGATGTCAAATCCAGATCGGACAGGATCTGCCCTGTAGAGCCAGGGCGCCACTCTGTGGCAAGAAAAGGAACTACGTCTTACAACACAGTCAGAGAAAAAAAAACAACAAGCTTGGCACAGCATTACACTTGACAACCTGAGAAGAACAAAGTCCCTGGCTCCTCCTTTTAACCAGATTCATCTGTCTGATGGATGATGCGAGACATCGGCTTTAACAATTCAGCACATTTAGAAGAACAACTCATTAAGAACTGCAGGAGTGCCGACCGACATGCACAAGATCCCACCATTAATCAAACCGCTATCTGTTCAGAAGCGAGTCTTCCTCCAGTACTTTTAAATGCAGTGCATTGTTAATAAAGAGAGCTATTTATGTGTGTCACTTTCATAAAGTTGGAAGCTTTTGGAAATTTCCTGCCGTAATGAATCAAAAGTGCCGGGTGGTACGGAAATTCAAATGCAGCTGGCCAAGTCTAACCGAGTGCGACGCTGTCCACCGTGGGTCTCTGGGAGTAGGGCAGATTCCTGTACACCTGTTCGATGATCTTCTCCTTCACTTGGGAGATGGAGTCACAGTTCAGGACTTTGACAGGGGTCACATCGGGACCTTCGCCATGAACCAACACCTGCAGGGTCTAGAGAGTTCAAACAGGCTTTAGTCTACTGATACCAACTGTACAAAGATCACCACATCAAATACACAATTAGACTGAACAAACTGTTAGAGGCAAGAATCACCAATTACAAGTCAATTAAATCTCGGTTGCATGAGAAATTCAACAAAATAAGAGAGCATGTTTGTTTTCCCAGATCTCATGATTCTTTTTCCTCCAAGTGGTTTCCTCCAGCGGATAATGGCTGTTCAGTCCCAGAGGAGCAGTGTTACGCTCGTGAATGAGATTACAGACTCACTGCTGGCCAATAAAAGGTGTTAGGAGAACAATGATGGACACACTAACACTGTCTCCGCTTTTCCTGAGTCTCTCTTACAGCGAGACCCATTCTGTATTAACAAGCTTTCTCTTGAACAGGTCCCTTACTGACCATTTCTACAAAGAAACCATCTTTGTACAGTCTTTGTAGATATATAAGCCGTAAACAGACATGCCACACACTTCAAAACCAAGTTTGGATGCTAAAATATGTCTTACGGGTAAGAAATTATACTGAAAACCACTAGTACTCACCAAAACGGTGTACTCCACATCATCCCCTAGAAGTCCAGTGTCGTTCAGTGTGTATTTGGCTTTCTTCATCTTGGCATCAACTGGACCTTTTTCCACCTGGTGTTTAATGGCCTTAAAGAGCTTATAGAGCGGCTCACCGGCTGAGTCCTGTGAAAAACACATTAGTCAGCCTTCACAGCTAGAAAACAATTTCTGCAATTCTATTCATAGCATAACTGCTCACCTTTAGGAACTGGTAGAGACATATGGACATCCAGTTACACAACATCCTCTCCACAACCGTCTCGGACCTAAACAGGAAACATGGGCTGATGAATTAATTTGTCAGTACAGGCAATACCTTAAAAATGGCTTTAACTATTTTCTCACGTCCTGATAAATTATAATCTTCATTTGAACGATCCTGACACTGATTGCTTGAAATCCCCAAAAATATATTTTCTCAAAGTCTCGTTTGAGTGGCGGCACTGAACCACAAAACTTTCTATAGACTCCTGGAGCACAGCATGCAAAAACATACAATCCAATCTTCTTTTGAACGATCCTGACATTGATGGTTGACATCCCAAAAAAAATATTTTCTCAATGTCTAATCTCAGTGGTGGCACTAAACCACAAAGCTTTCTATAGACTCCTCGAAAACAGCATGCAAAAACATACAACGCAACCTGAACGATTCACAAACAACTGACTCTTATGAGTGGTTTTGTTTAATGAATGGTTCCAAAAGACATGTTGCCAGTCTGAAACACAGCCCTGTATAATTTACAGCATCAGCATAGAAAACATTTCTCTCTATGTAAGAATATGTAAGCAAAACGGATATTATAACTAACATATACCTGAATAAATCTACGACAAATCAAAACAGGAATCAAACTGAATTAAGAGCTTGTGAATCAGAATCAAAGTGAATCAGGAACTATCTACTAAAGTGTTCTGACTGAGTGGTTTCAGCAATTGCCATGCTGTTTCTAGGGTGTTTAGTGTGGTTGATAGGTGGTTGTTTACTAGCATAAACCAAAAGGGCCAAGTCTATGATATTCTGGTCCAAAGTCCAGGAATTATTTATCCGTATGTAAGTATGACTGCATAGAAATGCTAAAGCTAATTATGAGCAACAATAATGGCAAATTATGTGAATTTGTTATGGAGTTGGTTCTGACCTGCGGAGCATGAGTTTAGGGTTCTTGCTGTGGACGTATTCCTCCATCAGCTCCAGCAGAAGGGTTCTCATGATGTCTGTGTAGTACTCCAGCTTGCCATGTAGTGCCACCATCAACAAGGAAGCAAAGTAAACCTTATTCCTGGCATTGAACTCCTGCCTGCCCTCCAGGGTACGTATGAACTAAAGCACAAAGACATGAGTACATAAGTCAGCTTATACATCAAATCCAGTAGTATGTAGACATGTCAGCAGAGCAATTTTATTAGGTTGAGGTTGAGGGTCTCACATTGATGAGGAAGGTTTTGCTGTTCAGGAGATTGGAGAACTGGTTGAGCGCCTGGTCTACGATGGCTCTGCGGGATTCTGGGATGTCCAGCTTGCCGGTGATCATGACATCGTTGGCTCCATCTTTGGAGGGCAGGAAGAAAACGCGGTTGGTGTAGTTCTTGTAGTCCAGGAATGGGATTCGAGCTTCATTCAGATCACTAGTGTGGTCCTCCATCTCTATCATAAGATCTAAGAAACACAGAGAGCTAAGTTTCATATACAAGTTGAAGCTTTCAGAATTACAAAACCCATCCTTGCTCTTGCCTAAAAAGGAAATATTTGTTGACAAATAAAAATGGCATGAACTATATGAGAAGCAGGAACATCTCACCTGTGAACTCTTTTTTACAGCGATCACGGACACTCTCTTCTAAATTCGCCAGCTGATTTTTGATCTTCTCATACTCTCGTTCTGCCTGCTGGCTTTTCCTCCTGCACGTATGCAAACACAAACACTATTTTTTAAATTTCCTTGAATCTAATTTACTTCTAAGTTGCTGCATATTATTTTTAACTTAATTATTTATTACTTTTTAATGATAGTACAGAGAAAGAGGACAGGAAATGCAGATCATAGGTTTATTTGCTGTTCTGTCTTTGTAAATTATAATTTATGGCTTTATTATTTGTATCTCCTTAATTGACTGATTATTACTGATTATTAATTGGATTAAATACAATACCTGTTTTTGAGAGAGAGGAAAGGAAATCTAGATAATAAGTTTATTTGCTGTTGACAATCAGAGTGCACTTCAATTTTTGATTTTCTTTTATTTAATCCACTGATTATCTATTATCTGTTGACTTTTTAAAATTTTTTACCTTTTTTTATTTATTTTTTATTGATATTAGAAAGAGAGGACAAGAAATGATGGAGGGAATGAGACCGTATTGAAAGAAAGAAAAAAAAAATTTGAGCAATATGTCTGATGCGCTACTTTGAAATCAAAGTTATTAAGTTCACATTATTACAGTCTGGTGACGTATTTCCTCTCAAAGCGAACAGAGCCGACATTCCACTCTCCGTTTCCGAATATGATCTGAAAAAGACAAGAAACGTTGAACACAGGGTAAAACCAGTGAGAATAAGTGGGATTAAAACTTGAAGAGAGCCATTTCTGACCGTCAGCTCCATAGCCTCTGAGCTGGTGTCTCTGCGGTGGCGTCTGGAGGTGGATTTCGGAGGGCTGGAGGGGGCCACGAGGAACAGCTTATCGTCCTCCAGGATCGTCACCGCGCATGACACATCACCCACAAACGCCTGGGCCTCTTTGGCAGTCATGGCTTTAGAAAAACCTTTACCCTGCATCAGAGAAAAGCAATGAAGCAGTGATTTTTTTGAAAGAACATTCAGCAGTTACGGAAACGAAAGTCCCTTTAAGGCATAGCTTTTTATTTCATATTTTTCTAAGAGGCATCCAAAATCTGTCATTAGCAAAAACACTTGCATGAACGCTGATGATGCTGTTTTCCGTGATGGCTTTATCTGTCAGCGTATCGAACGAGGGGTCTTGATGGTAAACAAACTCCGTCAAGTTCTCCACCAAGTTGTCCAGCTGGATGATCGTTCTTAAGGACTGGTTTATGTATGTCTTGTTCACAGCCGGAGAGAGGAACTCCAATACGGTTTCGCTCTTGTTGCAAAATTCTTGAACGAACTGCAGGAAAGAAAACAAGTTAGTTTATCTCTGTATAAAGCACATTTCACAAATGTCTGAGCACTAAAAAAGAAATAAGACAGCAGGCTGTCAGCTGCGTGATTAATGTTGCTTATTAACATTAAGAGAAGTGAGACGGAGGAAAGGAAATATTAGGTAGATGCAGACAGAAGAGAGAGAGAGAGGAAACTCCTCAGCTTGAAACTGAGCAATGGGTTTTAACATCCAGACATTTTATCAAAAAAATGAAATTACATAAAAATGAAATGCTGATTTCTTTCTAATTTCTTAAGAGCCAATCAATAACATCTGACAGAACAAAAATAGGAAACCTGAAGATTTCAAATGAAAGCACAAGCGACATTGAGTAAGTAAATAAGAACTTACATTTCAACTTTTTCAATGTTATTGTATGGCTTCAAAAGACTGAATATAGAGCAAAATTTGTTTAGGTGCTTTTTAAAAATCCATTTTGAAGCCTGTGGTCAATACAAATTGGAAAATAACCGTTTGCTTTTTGTGCTCCATGGACAAATAACATCTAGTGTTATTTTAGTATTAATTTTAAACTATAATAACAGACATTAGTATTTTAAATCATATCTTTTTTTTATATTTTCAGTTTTCATTTTAAATGTAGTTTGTTTTAGCAATTTTATGGGCTTTTGTCATTTTTATTAGCTATAGATAAAGCGATTAGCGATTTCTATTTAGCTTTAATTTTTTTTTTAGTTTTTGTTTCAGAAATTTTAGTACTTCAACATGCTTTTTTTTAGTTAGTTGCCAAAACAAAATTTTAAAATCTATAATTTTAATTAATTAATTAATTATTAATTTTAATCTAATATTTATATTTTATTTTGTATTTATTTAAATTAACGAAGAATATTTTGAATAGTTTTAATAAACAACAACAGTAATACTGCATCAAGTTTGAATGACATAATGGTGAGTAAATTGTGACTTCTGAACTTTAAATTTACATTTTAGTTGAACTATCCCTTTAAGGAAACAGAATCAGAATCTTCTAATCCCAGCCTTGCTTACTGTAAGCGACCACAAACTTTACCACAGAAAGGTCCAAAAATGATCATTACAAACATTACACGCACCTCCACGTTGCTAGACTTGTGACTGAACTCTTCAGAAGAGGGCAGCACTCGCATGGTGGCTCTCTGCACCTGATCAAATCCAGATCCCATCACTATGATCTTACGACCTCCGCTGAAAACACACAAACATACACGCAGACATGTAATACTTCTGTACACAGCCATATATTCTCACCCCTGAACCATTAAATATATGTAGACATCTTATTTGTGATCATATTTTCAAAGACATGGCATTCAAACTTTGAAATGCCCAATAGTGAGGCTGTATGTGTGAGCGAGGCTTAAAAACGGACTTACCAAACAAAGCTGGCCCGTGGGGTGTAATCTGTAACTTTGGGATTGGTTGAGTATTCGAATCCGCTGACTTCTTTGGAAGTGTCCTTGCCGTACTTTACAATAACGGGCAACTTATCTGAAGGAATCTTCTGTCCTTTATATAGGCCTGTCATGCAGGTGATCTCCTGACCAAATGTCAACCTGCATTTTTAAAAAGCGTAAAGACACGATCAGAATTGGACAAAGATAAATCAAATCTGCTTTCTTACACCTAGTTACTCACACTTTACATGGCTCTCTGTCCACTGTGATGCTGATATCATCTATACTAGCCGTGTCTAGGTCCTCGGGGGGGGGGGGGGGAGAAAAAAAAAAAAAAACTTTGTTAACATTTCCTCACTCACAGCTCCAATAATAGCTTCTTTTTTTTTTTTTACATCAGTCTAGCTTTATTAAACATTAATAAGGCTATGCTCACACAGTCAGTGGAAGATATACTGTTCAAAAGTTTAGGGTTACTAAGATTTTTAAAGATTTCTAAAAGATCATGTGACACTGAAGGCTGGAATAATGGTTGCTGAAAATTCAGCTTTGCATAACAGGAATAAATTACATTTTTTTTAAAAATGAAGAAAACAGTCACTTGAAATGTAAATAATATTACTGTTTTTAATTCTTTTTTTTAATTAAATAAATGCAGCTTTGTTGAACATAAAAATACTTTAAAAATCAAAAATACAGTATCAGTTTCAAACGTACAACAGAAGTCTATCCTACTGAAAACTCTTGTGTTACGAATGCTGGTGAGCTTTCAATTTAAAATAGCATTAAAAACCCATTTTACTTTTAAAATGTGACTTATTTCCGAATGAAACTGAATATTCTGTTTGAAAACAAAAGAAAAATATATAAATAAATGAATAACAATAAAAAAAATACAACTAAATAAAAAAACTACTTAAAAGTATATTTTAAAGAATGAAAACACACCTTTTCCTATTAGCCTGGAATATTTCTTAAATAAACTTTAAGTAGCAAGATTTTCTTGGTCAACCATCTTTACTAGCTACATTATGCTGGTTAACATCATTGGAATTCCTCTGTGTTTAAGCTGGTCTTTTCAGGTGGGCAATTTACTTAAAATTTACATAGAGAAAGGCAAAAAGGATTGAGGAACATAAACAGCCACAAAGGACTCATCATAGAGAAAGCTTTTACCCTGTAAGTGAATAACACCTGCGACTGTCCTGTTCTCCCTCCTTCCACCTCTACTTCCACTGGCCCGACAAGGCTGCGCTCATTGGGCAGGTCTTCAGGAGGTGCTGAGGGGAAAGGCCCAATCTCACACACAACACTGAAAAAAACACGGGAAGAACTGAATTATAAGCTAAACGGCTCTTTCTAACATACAAGATGTGTTTTAAATGCTCTACACGACAAAAGTTACAAATAAACACCACTGTTCAAAAGTTTGGGCTCAGTAAGATTTTGAGAGTACATCTGTTAAGTCTTTTCAGGTGGGCAATTTACTTAAAATTTACATAGAGAAAGGCAAAAAGGATTGAGGAACATAAACAGCCACAAAGGACTCATCATAGAGAAAGCTTTTACCCTGTAAGTGAATAACACCTGCGACTGTCCTGTTCTCCCTCCTTCCACCTCTACTTCCACTGGCCCGACAAGGCTGCGCTCATTGGGCAGGTCTTCAGGAGGTGCTGAGGGGAAAGGCCCAATCTCACACACAACACTGAAAAAAACACGGGAAGAACTGAATTATAAGCTAAACGGCTCTTTCTAACATACAAGATGTGTTTTAAATGCTCTACACAACAAAAGTTACAAATAAACACCAGTTCAAAAGTTTGGGCTCAGTAAGATTTTGAGAGTACATCTGTTAAGCTCACCAAGGCTGTATGTATTTGATCAAAAACAATAATACAGTAATAATGTGAAATATTATAAAGTAACTGTTTTCTATATTATATATTTTAAAATGTAATTTATTCTTTTAATGGCAAAGCTGAATTTTCAGCAGCCATTACTCCACTCTTAAGATCCTTCAGAAATCATTCTAATATATTGATTTTGTGCTCAAGAAACATTTCTTATGACGTTGGAAACAGTGCCGCTAAATATTTTTGTGGAAACCACAATACATTTTTGCATGGTTCTTTGGTGAACAGAAAGTTCAAAAGAACAGCATTTATTTGAAATAGAAATCTTTTGTAACTTTAAATGTCTTTACTGTTTCTTTTGATTAATATAATGTTACCTTGTTGCATAAAAGTAATAATTTATTTTTAAAAAATCCTACTGACCCCACATTTTTGAATGGTAGAGTATATGCTGTGATACCCCATTCCTCTAATAAGGCAGTCATGCTGTACCTGGTACTGACGGAGTATCTCTCTGGCTGATGAGTACATGGCACTCCAGCTATGGTGATTCTCTTAATGTCCTCCTGCTTGATGCCCAAGTTAGAGCCTTTTATAGTGACAGAGATCTGTCCCTTCATCGGCCCATACCGAGGAACAATCTGGAATGAAAGCAGAACAGCACAGTTTAAAGAGGCCTATAATACTCAAAACCATATAATAGAGTTAAAAAGATCACCCATAACCATTGTGCCCTTGAGTGATCCAGCTGCTTTGGAGAAAATAATTTGCCAGATGACAAATAATAAAACACCATCAGGCGCAGGCGGTGCGATCATTAGAGTCTCAGATGGATTCAACAAAACACTACAGTGAGAGACTGAGTTTGTGACTACCAGCGCAGCCATCTATATATCATTTAGGCATGAGAAATGGAGAAGAGGATGAAAAGAAATGGTGTTTTCTGGTGAAGACGAAGAATAGAAATTTATGAAGTGCATTTGAACCAGGAATGGTGAGTTTGATAATAGCTGATGTCAGGCCAATGAGATATTCTTGGATGCATTTTGAGCTTAGCTTGAAGTGTGACTGAGTCTAGTGTTAGCAAAGTTCAAAATAGGGTCGAGAAACAGTATCGAGCAAAGAAAGACAAGAATTGTCCTCACGTCAGTGATCTTTGGAGGAGGACACTGCTTCAGCTCCTGGTTGCACAGGTCTCTGTAGATGCAGGATTTTGTGGTGTCGCACCAAACGCAGTTATACTTCTGATCAGCGTTCTTACACAGACTGCAGTCCTCACGTCTAACCGAACAGTTGTAGAGCACCACTGGGTAGAAAAATGGAGGGAACAAAACAATTCACAGAACTGACACTAAATTCATCATCTGTAGCAAAACATGCTTTAAAAAAAAAAACTCAAAAAAAGTTCCTCTAGTCTTTTTGTTTTGTAGAGAAATAAACATTTCATTAAACTGCTGTTTATCACTATGTTTCCGGAAATTGTGAGTTATGCAAATTAGGCTGTTTATTGTTGTATGTGGTGATTTATTAGTCACATTTAGCGCAAAGATTTTTGATGCTGTCAACAAACCGTCCAAATTAAATCTTCATTTTTTTTGTGGCCGATTAACACTGCTCAGAATATGTAGGCTGGCAGTTATATATTTAAAAAGATATTAGCTTTAATGTTATGTGGTTAGCTACGTTTAAGTAATACGTTCCGGCACAGCTTAGCGTAGCTTAAAGGGATATGCTTAGTTCATGTTTAGCAGATGAGCACTTTCAAAATGACATCTTCCAGTTAAAAAATGCACATCAAATAGACACCTGGATGACATACTTATGCTAGCTACATGCTATTAATACTTAGGTAGTTAAAGGGATAGTTCACCCAAAAATTTTAACTATTTGATTTTCAGAAATGCAGTTTTCAAAGTGTTCATCTGCTAAACAGGTCCAAAACATCCCTAGTTGGATATAAAAACAAGATTCAGGTGATCAGTCCCCAAGATGCCAATGATATATAACATATGCTAATCTCCTTATTTTAAGAGGTTTATCAGATGTTTATACACAACCTTTCCACATCTTGACGATCCACATGTTTACTGCAGCTTCTGTAAGCTATGATGATGAAAATTCATTTAAATGTACCTCTGAGGGTGCTGTCAATCTTCCTGTCCGTGATTTTATCCTTTATGTAGAACGTCACATTCACCTCTGGCTCCTTGTCATATTCAAACTGGCATAAAAATAGTAGAAAGTGTCATTAAACACACACACAGATACAGACAAACACATCACCGCATCTGGAACAACTGTGTGCTGCAGAAAATTCTCCCCTGCCAAAGTGATGTCTTTGTGTTTGTTACGCCCACAGAGGACTGAGCCCTACACACACGTGCAGCTCAATAGCTGTGAGTGCCATATTGGTTGGTGCTCAAACTCCAGAAACAAATCAATGTGTGAACAGAGAAGTAGAGAGTGAGGGAGACATAATAGGAGGAATACGATTGGAGCATACTGACCTCAAATCCCTCAAATCTGTACTTTGACCCATCAGCCTCCACAGTCACCTCGCCCACCTGTTTCATGAGCTCAGTGCCAATTTGAAAGGTTCTGGCCTGAGAGAGATGAAGAAAGAGTAATGCTGTTTATGCAGACTCTAATAACAGGCATTTTACTAAAAAAATCATGCTGACAAATTGCCTCACTGAGATATTGGGTAAATATATTTCTTTATTGCATCTTCATTGCTCTCTGAAATATTTGATTCTGATTGGTCGATGGTTATGGTTCTGTGATAAATTATGTAGCTTTGGCAAGTAATATATGAAGTGATACAAGAGACATCACACTAGCAAAAAAATATGGAAATTCCTTAACAGTACAACAGGCCCTATTTTACAAACTTTTCTTTTAGTGTAAAATCATTTGAATTTAATTAAATCAATATCTCACATCAATTTATGTACAGTATTTAGTAAGCATAATGCCAAAATGTCCAACTGATGATATACATTATTCTTTACATATCTTAAAAAAAAAAAAAAACTTAAGGATATTTTCCCTGCATACATTGTATACATTAATATACTAAACGTAACAAAAACACAATGTACAATAAGAAGTAATGCATGCATTTTACCCAATATTCATCCAAATTTTTGCCCTGAAATTGGATGGGGGTTTTAATTCCAACAGGAATAAGCAAGGGTTCTGGGATCTCAAACCGAGGACACCTGTCATCCTGCAAGAATCATAAAAAAAAAAATCTATTAAAACTGTTATTATTCCTCTTTTGTCACCAAAGATGATGGCTTACCATATAATTAAACAACAAACAGTCATATTAATTTATATACGCATACATTCATACATTAATATACTAAACGTAACAAAAACACAATGTACAATAAGAAGTAATGCATGCATTTTACCCAATATTCATCCAAATTTTTGCCCTGAAATTGGATGGGGGTTTTAATTCCAACAGGAATAAGCAAGGGTTCTGGGATCTCAAACCGAGGACACCTGTCATCCTGCAAGAATCATAAAAAAAAAATCTATTAAAACTGTTATTATTCCTCTTTTGTCACCAAAGATGATGGCTTACCATATATTAAAGCACAAACAGTCATATTAATTTATATACGCATACATTCATCCTAATATGACTCACCTGCATGTGTTGAATGATATGATCACCCTTGACAGTGTCATCTCTATCACTGCATGTGTGATCCTGAATATTCCATTGGCAGCCCCACTTACTGGTCACACATGCAATGCATCTGCAGAACACAAAACCGGCCAATCAAAAGACGAATCTAAATAAATGCTACATGGAGTACACATTTTTAAAAACACTGCCTGATACTCACGGTGTATTCTCCGATCTTTTTACCACGGCTGCACAGTTGTAGAACTCAAATGCACTAGATGCCACTTCAACGCCATCATTTACCGTGATCTTCACTGGCACTGCCACAAAATCTACACACATGCACATGGGAAATGGGAATCATATGGGCTTTTAAGGCAGTAGTAATTCATACAGCCAGTTCTGAATTGTTTGAGCTTAAGAGGTGCTAGATAAGCCAAGGTCATGGGTTCGATTCCCAAGGAAAGCATAGCCTGATAAAAGCTTTTGTAACTCTAAAATCAAGGGAAATAGGAATCATATCAGTTTTTAGGCAAGAGCATTTCATGTGGTCAATACTGGACTTCTAGGGTTCAATAGGTGCTAGAAACGCCAAGGTTATGGGTTTGATTCCCAAGGAAAGGAGGCCCTTATAAAAGTTTTCTGTAACTCTAGAATCAACAAGTTAAACTTCAGAATCTATCTGCTATTAGATTTAGCTTCAGTGTAATTGCTACATCTGATCAGTCTCCAAATAAAAAAATCACAAAACTAGCAAATTACAAACATGAAGAAATGAAAAACTTTTCATGCCTGACATGATTTTTAGGCATTCTGTGAGACAAACACCATCTGTTTGTTTATTGAGTAAAGGAGGCAGCGAGAGGACGGCTTCACAGTAGGTGATTATTAAAGTTAAAGACAAAAAGGATGCTCTCACCTTGTGTCTCAGGTGTGGGTGGTATGTTCTCAGAGGTCGGGAGAGCACAGATGACCCATGTGCCTTCCATAGTTGCGTGACTTTTGTAGCCATCAAACTCACAGTGAAGTCTATCAGGACTGCTGATACTGGGGAGGGAGGGGATGTCAATCATCACCTGCAAGTTTAAACCAGAAAATAAGGATTTAGGAAAAATAAATAAATAAATGTGGAAAAACATCAGTTCTCACAATTTTTGAACAGCGAATTTATGAGTGTTATAGTTGTTTATGATTTTTAAATATTGAATAGTGCGGAACAATCAAGAAAAAATAAATAATATTCAAAAGATGATAATAATAATAATAATAATAATAATAATAATTACATAACCATACATTTTTGTTGTGAAAAACACAATTGTAAAATTTGCTGACATTTTCAGGTTTTGCACGACTGTATTTCCCCTGAAATGCAATACGAAACAAAATAATATAGATTTCAGCAAACAGTAAACAAGTTAGAAGCATACTGCCTTTATTCATTACCACTGATACAGGAAGTTAATTACGGTATACAGGAAGCCTCTTCAATCAACCATGACCACTTGAGTTTCTTCTGAGACATATTAGAAATGCATGAAAAGTGCTCTGTGCGTTCATGTGGTATGATACAATAGTTTCAGACGGCTTGTTTAGTAACTTCACCATGTCAGCTTATGAAAAAAGGATTAGACTCTCAGACTGGATCTGTTACAGTCAGTAAATATCAATCTTGAGTCAATCCTTAAGAGGTTAGGGTTTGAAATAACTGCAGACCATATCACAGTGTGTGTGTTTATGAATGTGTTATGCTTTAGTACCTGTGTACGCTCTGTTTTCTTGCAGCTGATGTTGGGGGGCACAAAGGACTGAATAGTTACACATGTTTGTTTTGGACTCCACAACCAGACGTTCTCTCCTTCTGCTTTGCGACAATCCTTTTTCCTAGTACAACTGAAAGAGCAAAGCAGACAAACATGGGCAATGAGCCATACTGCATTCGCTTTAACTGGACTGCACGCAGATATCTATTACATACTGTAACAGACAAAACTAAGACTTCAATTACACCATATTTTAAACAATTTCAGAATCAGGTCGCTAAACTGTTTCCTGTTCTAAAACATACTTTAGTAGGGATGGAAGTCACATGACCCATAGGAGTCATGTGTCTTGTCATGTGGCAGTGTTACTGCTTGTCCTGTCCTTTACTGGACAAGAATGCTCAAATGATGTGCTAACACACTTACCGGCCTTCCAACACACACCAGCCACAATATGGGTCCCGCTGGGAGACACATGAGTGACAATCATGCCTCTGCTCACAGGCCTGCACTGGCACTTTGGTGATCTATGCAAAAGAGAAACAATTAAGACAACAGCCACAACCTTTAAAATGCCAATTTGTTAATTTATTTAAGATGCTTAATAGCTGATGCATCTGTGATTGAAGGTTCTGCTTCTGCATTAAGAGTTTAAGGTGCGATCACATTATCAAAAAAGGTCCACTGTCCATTGTCAAGCAATACATGAAATATTGCCACTTTCAAACTAAGCATCTTTCTGTTGGTCAAAGTGGGGAATTTGTGTGACCAACCTGAACACAAGCGAAATCCGTATGGGAAACATTTGACCCTCTTTGCACAGATTCCTATTGAAATGACTGGATTACCCACACCTTTAGGACCCAAAAGTCATTAAACGTCATAATTGTAAAGTGAGAGAGCTGCAGCATGTCATCTCTGCAACGTCAGAAGAGTCGTTTTGCTACATTTTTTTGCGTTTGTGTACAACTGTCAACTTATGGAGCAGCTTATGCATTTGAATTGAGTGTTCCACTTCAACACTCTCGGTTTCCTGCTTCTAATATATGGGCCATGTGAATGAGTAAAATGACTGACGGGAAGAGAGCGCCTCGAAGTCTTCCGATTGCCTAAAATGATATGACACAGCCTGCTGTTACATTTTTTGTGGCAGATTACAGAGTCTAGGGATGTCACATGTGATATTTCAATATATCTCTAAATGTACCACTTCATAAAAATTTCCTTCAAGATTTGCAAGCCTACATTATTAAAACAGGTTTTAACCAGTGGATGATCTCTGTTGACTTAATGTGATATATGAGTTGTGGATGTGTTCATAAACAAACCTTTCTGCCAGTGGTGATGTACAAGATATCCAAAGTTGAATTAAAAAATAGGTTTTTGTTCACCCCACCATCTGTGCGTTCCCCTGGAATCCTGTTATAAAGGTTAGGGTGGCTGGGGTCAAGATGCACCTGCAAGCAGAAAGTTAATTCATTCATTCATTCGGCAAATGCTTTTATCCAAAGCGACTTACAAGTAAACACATTATTACGGGGCAATACAACTAGAGCAAGTTCTAGGATTAAGTGCATTTCTCAAGTGGTTGTAGCTCATAAATCACCCATACTTGGGTTTGAACCAACAACCCAGCCCATATTGTTACCCACTAAGCCAGACCACCACAGCAGTCAAACCTCAAGAGCTTCAGTGAAATTTAAAGAGGAAAGAAACCAGATCCTGGAATGGGACTCACCTTTAAGACATCTGCTCCGCTGGTTCCCAAAAATGCCACAGTGTGCTCATTCTCCACCGCCACAGCTACAGCTGTCAGCATGTCATTTCGGGTGAAGATGGGTTTGACAGCCAGTGCGTACTCGGGTTTACTGGCTAGTGGAGACGGCAGGAACTCCGCGCCACATTTATATCCCTTCACCATGTTCTTCTGTTGGGCGAAAAGACATACCACATTCAGAAGGGTCACAAAACACCATACAACATGGAAGCAGAGTGGAAGAAACACAACATCTCACATCTCTTTTGGTCCTGCAGATGGCCTCGGTCTTGGAGATGTAGGGTGAATAAACAGTCTTTGGTTTCTCGTCCTCCAGAACTTCCCCTATGTAGCAGGACTCAATCACCTCCTCAAGCCTGGTGTTAATGCTGCTGAGCGGGTACATGCACAAGGCAGAACGGCCACCGTCCTCATCCGCGCTGAACACCGCAAACAGAACCTTATCATTGGGATTCGAAGGGATGATTTTCCTAGCCAAAATTTCTCCTGGTTTGGCCAGATATGCTGCTTGGACCTTGTTGTACGTGTTCTCCCGTTGTTCAGTGCTGACAGAGCAGTTGAGCTGAAGTTCGGTGTAAGAATAATAATGATGGTCATTCTCGCACAGGCGTGCTATAAATGTGATCTTCCTGCTGTCACTGGTGCCCGGAGTGCGCGAGAACAAGAAGTAGATGTAGCCATTGTCTTTGAAAGCATGGCGAAAGTCATGGAGGTAACGCTGGACGAAAGGACTAGCTTGCACAGTGGAAGCTTCAACCATGTTCTCAAAGACATCCATTTCTCCGTGCTCCTGCAGTAATCGGGTGCTGATGAGTTTCGAACTGTCCGAGCTACCATAGCCCTTCCCCACTAGAAATACGCTGAGGTTTGCATTAGTATGAGCATCTATAAAATAAGAAATAACTCCCACTACGGTAACAGACTCCTCTGTGCTGGCTACATATGTCTTCTCGCCTTTAGTGTCACTGTAGTACACCGGTTTGTCCACGCTGTTGAGGCTTACCAAAGAACAGATGCCCCTGAAAAGGCTTCCGCAAACAATCAAAGTGCCGTTGGCGGAGTTAACCAGTAGGAGTTTGTTGATGTTGTACATATCCTTTGCATCAGTGCACTGTGCAGTGATTGGTGGAGTGCATTGTGGGTTGTCGTGCCTAGGGCCTGTTACAGCACTGCTCTCCTTCTGCAGGTCATAGTTCAGCTGATAGATGTTATTAATGGCACCCAGGTAAATTCGACCAGTTTGAGGGTCCTGAATGACATTGTTGATGACGGTATCAGACATGAAAGAATCATCACAGCAAGATGAGCCAAAACACAGCAGCAGGGACAACACTGCCAGGGTCCTCCACGTCATCTCTTGAAGAGAGAGAAAGAAAACAAGACACATATCACATAAGAGTTCAGCGACCAAGTTACATGCCTGTGCAAAAGTTGTCGCCAAAATGCTAATTTATTAAAAAATACATCCAATTCATAAATACAGACTTGAATACACCTCTCCTATAGTGAGCATGTATTTAATTTCTGAATGAAAATACATTTTGATATTTGGGGGGGGGCATAAAGTCAGAAATGTCAGGGTGATACAACTTTTTGATACTTGGCGATACTTTTCAAAAGTACATGAATCCAACATGAATACAAGGATGACATTTCTAAGAACTTGGAACATGACTTTTAAATTAAATTAATAAAAGATTTTCATTTTAGTTAACTTGTCATTGACCCAACAGAGATGCTTGCCTTAGCAGGCAGCACTAATAAATTCACTGACATCTTTTTGGATGCTGGAGAATTTCTTTGATATGCATCATTATACTATAGTGAAGTAAGCACTAGTCAAAAGTGATACCAACAAAGACTGTTAAAAGAAAAATCGATCGGGCCTCTCAACACTTCACTCAAAGGCGTTGCAGATGGCTGCATGACTTTACACGCCGATACAAGCGAAGCATTTCTAAAGAAGCTCGTCCTCCACCCCTGCACTCCTTTCATTCTTCTTTTCTTCCATCCCCTCAGCACTTCAGCTGGTCCTAAAAACACTGGGGCGGAAGTCAAACGCTCATCAAAGCAATCACAGGGCAGCCTGATTCCAGCATAACAGAAGGTGGCTCAATGAATTATGGGTACAACCTCAGCAGGGGGGCCAAACAATCCTGTCCTCCTTCCTGTAAACAACCCCTATAATAACCAGCACAGCATGCAAAGTTATTTTGTTAGACAGGAAGATCTAATCACAGTCGTTCCTTATATGAACATTCTTGAGCTAATTTAGATGTTTACAATTTTCAGCTTGCAAACATAGTTGGGGTGATGAAATATTAACCATATTCGCTCAATATTCCTGACCATTCCATGAATTTGCCTAAACGTGGTGACAATCCTCTGGAGTGGACTTCCACACAACTGACTGTGATGTTTAGACTGCCAGAGCAAATACTTTCCCTGCAAATCGAATGGCAGGAGTCTCTCAGACACCATGATCCTGTGCCCAGAGCTCATAAAGAATTCATGCTAAGAGTTTAGTGGATATTACAGCTCTTATTGGCTTTAATGACGGGACTCCAGAGACACGATATGAGGCAGGGCAGAAGTGCCGGGCTTTTTCTCTTTACTTAGTGTCTGTCAGAGCTCTGACGTGCAGAGTTTGCAATGAGATTAGAGGTTACTGTGGGGGGAGTGTCTTAAATTTTGCTTGTGTGTATGCGTGTGTGAGAGTCTAGTGTTAACTGTTAACAGGAGGCGGTCTTTGCTGCTGATTCAGAGCACATGGGTGATTTGTCTGGACTGTGCGGCTTTAGAAAAAAGTGACAGGAAAGAGAGGTTTTGGCAAATCGTCAAATTTTATTATGAATATTTAGACTGACAACCCCCCCTCCCCCTCCCAAACACAAGACCAAATTATTAACAGGAACAATGATGCCAGTCTCTCAGTACAGAGTTGATATTTGTGCTGAGTGTGCCACACGGCTCTGACTAAGCAAGTCATGTGATCACAAAAGAATGCACTGTGCCTTATGACACACTCCTTGATTTGCGTGTTAACACACACAAACATTAGTCATTGGTGGTGCTTGCTAAGACAGACTTTCCTGTTGCTAGCACATTCTCAAGTTTTGTCCTAACTATTATGTTCAAAACAACAGTTTTTAAGAAAATAATAAAAAAAAATAAATAAATAAAAGTTCAAAAGAATGTTCATAAGAAAGTGCAAATCTTTAAAAAAAAGAAAAACACGTTGAACCAACACTGGACTCCACTGAATGTCATTGTATGGGGGAAAAAATAAATATATATATATATATATATATATATATATAAAGAACAGAGAGATTTTTTTCATAAAATTTTCTTTTTCTAAAACTTTAGGTTCTTTATTGGAATCCATGGTTCCATGAAGAACCTTTAAAGTCCATGGAACCGTTTCACTGTATGGAACGACATGAGGATAAAATAACAGAATTTACATTCTAAGGTGAACTATCCCATAAAGTGTGAAGCTATAGTGACTTTAAAAGTTAATTTAAGACAATTTTTTGAAGAACAACTTTTTTGTTATTGGCAAATTTAAGGTCCCAGAATATCACAGAAACCTATGGACAGTGGAACACTCAGCACCGCCATGAACACATTAGCAAGCATCCTTAAAACCCTAGCAGCCACATAGCAACTTGCTAAAAACCACTTAGAACAGGGGTGTCCCCCCTCCCCCTCCCAAACACAAGACCAAATTATTAACAGGAACAATGATGCCAGTCTCTCAGTACAGAGTTGATATTTGTGCTGAGTGTGCCACACGGCTCTGACTAAGCAAGTCATGTGATCACAAAAGAATGCACTGTGCCTTATGACACACTCCTTGATTTGCGTGTTAACACACACAAACATTAGTCATTGGTGGTGCTTGCTAAGACAGACTTTCCTGTTGCTAGCACATTCTCAAGTTTTGTCCTAACTATTATGTTCAAAACAACAGTTTTTAAGAAAATAATAAAAAAAAATAAATAAATAAAAGTTCAAAAGAATGTTCATAAGAAAGTGCAAATCTTAAAAAAAAGAAAAACACGTTGAACCAACACTGGACTCCACTGAATGTCATTGTATGGGGGAAAAAATAAATATATATATATATATATATATATATATATAAAGAACAGAGAGATTTTTTTCATAAAATTTTCTTTTTCTAAAACTTTAGGTTCTTTATTGGAATCCATGGTTCCATGAAGAACCTTTAAAGTCCATGGAACCGTTTCACTGTATGGAACGACATGAGGATAAAATAACAGAATTTACATTCTAAGGTGAACTATCCCATAAAGTGTGAAGCTATAGTGACTTTAAAAGTTAATTTAAGACAATTTTTTGAAGAACAACTTTTTTGTTATTGGCAAATTTAAGGTCCCAGAATATCACAGAAACCTATGGACAGTGGAACACTCAGCACCGCCATGAACACATTAGCAAGCATCCTTAAAACCCTAGCAGCCACATAGCAACTTGCTAAAAACCACTTAGAACAGGGGTGTCAAACTCAATTCCTGGAGGGCCGGAGCCCTGCAGAGTTTTGTTCCAACCCTGCTCCAACACACATTCCATGTCGTTTTCAAATAAGCCTGAAGGACTTGATTAGGTGGATCAGGTGTGTTTAATTCCCTCCAGGAATTGAGTTTGACACCCATGACTTAGAACATCTTAGCAACACCCTGGCAACCACCCAAAACACCCTAGCATAGTGACAGCAAGTGCTCCAAACTCCACTCGCAATCTTCAGTAAATTTAGTTTCGTCTACCGTCATACACAAACAAGCACACATTGCCATAACATCCTGCCTACATGTGGCTCCACTGAAGCCCAGCCATGTGACCACCACCCACCTTCAAAACATCTCAACAAGAATGAGTAGGAAGTGTGTTTGTGTGTTTCTGTATCGCTGTATTCCTTGGATTTACAACTGAGGGCATGGCTCAGATAGTATTTCCTTTATTTCTCGATGCTTTTTTGATCTGGAGCCAAACCAAACACATTTCCTCTAAATTACTTTAGGGCTATCTCAACCTGAGCTGCCCATAAATGAACTCGCAAAGTATGAACAGGAGAGGAGGAAAAGAGACCTGCGTTTGATGCTCATGTTGTGAGTGGGAGGGTGTATTGCAGTTTGGATCAGCAGCACCAGTCTGTTATTCCTTCTCTCTGTGTTAAGAAACAACATGACCGGTAGCTCAGTACACAAGCAGACAAGTGCTGAACCAGCACTACTCTTATTGCGGGGCATTACACTGAAATTTCTCTGCCGAGTTAATAGTAAACCCCACATCTTCTCTGAAACTCCCTCGTAGACTTCCCCTCTGGCATACAAACTTTGTTTGACCCTCCGTAGCAGCTTGTTTCCTCACTCTCTCCACAGTCAAGTTCAGCTAACTCATTTATCATTTACAATATTCCCTCATATTTTCCACATTTCTCCTTTCTCCTGTCACAGCTTAATATGTAGAGACACCTATAAGTAACCTATTCATTGGCTAATCTGAAAAGTGTACAAAATGTAGTTCTGCAGTGCTATCAAAACATGGTTGTTTGTTGGAGGATTTACCAAACAAAGCAACATCGGCCCAACCCATGCTGTTAGTTTGCCGATGGCAGATCGGGGTTCGTCCGGGAAAACTTACTCAAACAAAATGTCATGTTTTGGTTGGTTTGCATGGTTCAGTTATTCCCTGGTAGATGGATGTTACTACATTGTCCTGCCAACAAAAAGCGAGTGCATAAAATCACAATAATTTTTTGTACATTAGGGTTGCACATATAAAGTATATTGAAATAAAATATTGTGATATGGCTTAATGCGATAGTTAAATTGCAAAAGCTGCAATTTAATGAAATAAACATATGCGCTGCCTGTTTGACCTACGCTGAAACATCATGAGCTGTATGCGTGTAAATGAACATAGTGCTGCGCTTCACTCTGAAAGTGGCAGCTCATGTATTTATTTTCCAGGCAAATGGCCAAAATAAATGTTTGATGGTTTAACATTAAAAAGAAGAAGAAAAATTTGGAATTTTACAGTGTACGATAAAATAAAAATGAAATATATTTTTATTTTATTATTTTATTCACTATACTCTTAATTTTTTTTTATTTATCCTTATCATTCAACTTTGTTAAAGTCTTTTTTCAACTTGAAAAAGTAATTTTTCTATGCAGATGCACTCCTCAACAAAATAACCCTTAATCACTCTAGAATGATTATATCCAAATATAGCTATTCGAGTCATTTTTTTTTTTCATATTTTTTCATACTGCAATATGTAGCACAGAAAAACTACATATCACAATGTCAGCTTTTTTCCCTAC